ACCTGCAGGATGGTGGCGCTCTGCTGGTCCATGCCCACCGCCGTGAGGCAGACGGAGATGATGACAACCCCGCCTCGTGGCCCCTACAGTGCCGTTTTTTATACATGCTCCGCGTGCGGATCATGTATTAAACATGCAGGGATTTAGTATTATAAACAACGATGAGTTCACGCATGAATTTATTCATAAGTTAGTCATGTATTAAAATCCAATATTCTTAAAAATCCGATGAATTAAAAACTGCCTTGTAGTGCACATGGGGGCAGCAGCCAGCCTGCCTCTGCATAGGACTCCTCCCTGGCCGTTGGCCCATCCATCCGGCGGCTCTGGCGGGGCCGTGGGAGCCACGTGCTGGGGGCAGAGGATTGCCACTCCTCCCGACGTGCCTCCTCGGCCCGTGGCGTGGGCTGGAGCGACGCTGTCGTGGCAGCCGAGGTCCAGCAGGTCGCGCTCGAGCTGCGGCAGACCCTCCAGCAGCACGTGGTGCTGCTGGGCCGCCATTGCCTTGCAGTCCAAGCTGAGCGCCTGGATGTGGGCCTTGAGCGGGCCAACGCTGTCGCCGCTGGCCGACTCGAAGCAGCCCTCGACCTTGACCTCAGCCTCCTGCTCGCTCGGTGGCCCAAGACCTTCTCGAGCTCCAGCCGCAGCAGCAGGAATACCAGCTCCAGCGGCACCGTCCCCAGCAGCAGTGACAACTGTATCGATGCCGCTATCGGAGTCCGAACACGTGTCCTCCAGCGGGCCGCTCTGGCTCCCCAGAGCGCCGGCCGACTCGGGCCGTCGCAGCGCTCGCCCAAGACCAGGGCCATTCTGCTCGCTCGGATCTAGCGTCCTGCCCAAACGGCCTGCTGCCATCGAGGCCTGCCCACTCCGCCCAGCGCCCAGCATCAGCGAGCTGTAGTAGGGGTTGAACGGGGCAGCAGCGGAGGCGAGGACGAGGCGCTCGGCTGCAGCACGCCTGCCGGCAAGATCAGGAGCTCGTCGAGCCGCGCGAGCTCGAGCTCCCTCCAGCTCCGCGAGGGGGGCCGGGGCCTCGGGGCGCGGCCGGCGCCGCCTGCTGCGGGTGCCCCCGGGCCCGCCGCGGGCACCGCGCCTCCGCCGGGTGCCGCGCCACGGGGGCCAGCAGACAGGCGGACGTCCGCGCCCTGGGCGGCGAGCCGGCTGGCCGCCGGACTCGGCGGCGAGCGCCGCCGCCCGGCTGGCCAGCTTAAGCTGGCCAGCTGGGCGGCGGCGCTCGCGATGAAGGCGCCGGGCGATATCGCCTCCAATTCCGCCAGGTGGAGTTAGACCAGGGGCTCACTGAGGCCCCTTTTTGCGCCCTCCTCTGCCTTTGAAAAAGCCCCGATGGGGTTCTTCAGTGCCGTCTTAGGGCCCCTAAGAGGCCTCCAGTAGGGTCTTGAAGTTATCGCTTCCAACTCCGCCACGCGGAGTTGAACCCAGGGCGGCTCTCTATGGCCCTTTCGGGGCCTTCTTAGAGCTTTTCTGAGGCCCTAAGTGGGCCCTGGGAGGTGTCATTTTCACGGGCGTTGAAAGTGACACCGCGGAGGGCCCTCTTGGGCCCTTCTTGGGGCCTCTCTTGGGTCCCTCTGGGAGCCCTCTTGGTGCCGCCCTGGGGCCTTCTCGGGGCCTTCTTGGAGCCTTTCTGGTGCTCTTTAAGTGGGCCCTGGGAGGTGTCACTTTCACGGGCGCTGAAAGTGACACATCGAAGGGCCCGCTTTCCCTCGTAGCGCTGCCCGTGGCCGGGGCATTGTGCAGCGCATCCCTCGTCGAACGTATTTTGTCGGACGCGTGGTCGAATTCCGCCAGTTCGGTCGAGATGGTGGTCAAGCGGTTCGGTTGCAATGTAGCCATGCGGATCTGAGCTTACCATTTCTTGCCATTTTGGCGGGGATCGCAGGAGCGTTTGTGTTGTGATCAACTGTGCTCGATCTATCCAGCGGCAGCGTTTCATCCCAATATATTATTTTGGAAAAAAGTCAGCAGGGGCCAAACTGCTGATGTGAAGCAACATGGGTCTCGTAAGCTTGGGCGCGACGTCGGCCGCCGTGGCCTGGTCGATGCCGAGCTCCGCCAGGGTCGTGCCCGGGCCTGGGCGCGTCGACGCCGAGGGCCCTGCACCTGCTGGCCCACGTCCGGCACCTCAGGAGCCCGCGCCCGGCCGGAGGTGAGCCGGTGGAGCTCGGCATTGAGGCCCTCCAGCTTGGTCCGCTGCTCAGCGATGGTCTTCTCCCTGGCCTCGCGCTCCAGGCTGAGCTTCGCGATGGTCAGCGAGCGAAGAACGGTATGAAATAAACTTTTTCGCCGTCGGGGACACCTGCCCCTGGGCGACTGGAAAGTTTATACCCCTGCGGTGCCACCGTAAGGGTATAAACTTTCCAGCCGCCCTGGGGCAGGTGTCCCCGACGGCGAAAAACATATTTTATACCGTTCTTCGCCCGTTAAGATGGAGGCGACCTGCCTGTCGAGCGCAGCCTCCGCCCTGGCGATCGCCAGCTGCGCCGTGAGGGCGTGGATCTTCTCGCTGGTCGGCTTGGCCGCGAGCAGCTTGGTGCGATGAGCCTCACGGGTGGCCCGAAGCCGAAGCTCATCCGCCGTCTTGACCC